TTTTCTGAGCCACTAGATGGCGGGCCGGAACATAATCACAGGCTTATTTAAGGGGGGGGGGGGGCGTTGCGGTGCCGTTCTGTGATTCTACAGATGGCCAGTCCGCCCCTGCTCACAAGCTTATTCGGATCCAAAGCTTTAGTGCGTTTTGAATCAATGCTGAGTACAGCCAAACTTGACAGTCTCTTCTCTGTCATTGTAGACCGAATGCTTCTCGTTTTGCGGCGACCCGTTCAAATGACAATCACATTTCCATGCTCGCGCCAGGGCCGGGGGATGGGGTTACAAGGTTTGCGTCTTGTGCTGCATTCACTTGCACTCGGACATTAGGGGTTTTCTCTCATAAATGTCCGATGAGCCACAACTTTTCTTTCAAAACAAAGCTGCCAACTGGGGTGGCAGCATATGCACCACCACCCCTCGCCCTCCATGATCAAGCGGCTTCTCCGATTTTGTTGTCAACGTTGTGATTGAACTTTGTTACTGTTCACATATAAGTAAACATTACGTTTGAATGATTTAGTGAGCTGGTGTTATTTTTTTCAAACCACAAACCGCATATTGGCTATTTCAGCACCACGCGCTGTCCACCTACTTATTGATCCACTATCAGCGTCAGTGCACCCCGCTGCCAGATTGTGCCTGTGCTGTGTGTCATTCGCTCTCAACATGGATTAAAGTACAATAAGCATTCTTCAGGTGTAGGTAGATGATCTATTCGGGCATTATAGCCTATACAGTATGTGCGACTGTCGGTCTGATATTAAAAAAAAAAAATCTCAAAATAATCTTTTCTTTTTATTCTCAAAATAATTTTCCGGGCCAAATATTATTGCTGGCGGGCCGCCTATTGCCGACCCATGCCCTAGGCCATGCCATTGGGAGGAATGAATGTTGCCCAAGGACACATTGACATGTTGACTGCAGGGGCTAGAGATTAAACTACAGACTTTCTGATTGGGGGACGACAGCTCTAGCTCCTTAGCCACAACCGCCCCAAGTTCTTTTTTTACAAATTCAAAACTTGTTAGCAATGCCATCGGGACCAATTTGGGGTTCCGTTTCTTGCCCAAGGACACTTCGACATATTTACTGCAGGGGCTGGAGATGGAACCCCCAATTGGTGGAAGACCATACTTCCTGAGCCTCAGCATACTCTGACAAGAGAGATAACACTGTCACAGTGTACATTGTCTTAAAACTTGATATTTTTCATACTTAAATAAGTATATTAACTGCCTATGCAAACCTTGCATTTTTGGTTGGATAACAAACAACCTGCTTTGTCATTTAGACAGTCTGTGTTTGCTTTAAACCATGACCATGATTATTTTGTACCTTCTTAAGTGCTTATTTTAACTCGAGATCAATAAACTATTTACACTCCACGGTTTGGAAAGGTGCTAAAATATAATGCTCTGCCAATAAAAACATCAGATCAGAAAACACATACACCAGAGGCCTGTACTACGAAGCCGGTTCAACCTAACCTGGATATGTTTGAGTTAGCCGGTTGGCCCAATCCAAAACATACGCGCTCTCGCTAAGCGGTCCTACGACGCTGGTTATCAAGTGGATCGCTCAAGCCAGCCGTGTCCTATCTAGTTAGGTGCGCGTTCACATGAAAGGGGTGGTATTTGGAGCATTCGACCAATCACAAACATGGACAAGCCGTGTACTGACAGCGCAGCGTCATACTTCCTGAATGAAAAGTGAACTTTAATATTAGTCAAATATGAAGAAGTTAAACTTTAAACATCCATGACTTAAACACTTTATCCAGGATAAAAGCCACATAGCTGCACCTGCAAGGTGAATACAGCTGGTAAAAGAAAAAGCGTTTGAATGCGTACATTAACAGGTTTTATGATATCACTGCCCCGTCCAAGACACGAGTGGATCTGACTTTAATTACATTTGAGATTTAAATACGTTTGAGAAACCGGCTCGAGATACACTTTTTGTTATATTCCATGGAATGCTCTTAACATCCCGATAGCAATGAATATCTTAAGTGCTTTGACAAAAAATCCATACAAAAATGTCATCTGTGGAAGCCGTAATACTGTAAAAAGCACGACCAATCATTTTAGCCGGCGCGGCTAAAATAACTGGATGGCCTACCTGCCTGTCAGCCTTCCATCTGTGCACAAACTTATCTCGTGCCCTCATTGGTCATGTGCGCGTTCGTGTGTGTTGGAGGAGGGGCTCTGTAAGGAAGTGGCAGATTTTCTCCGGTTGTGTATTTTCAAATTCTAGCGATCTCGAGCCGGTTTCTCAAACTTACCTACCCCACCTTTAATGTGTTGCTTAAAATAATACTTCTGCATACAGTATGTGACACTGTGAGTGTTGCACGGCCAGATACGGCTCAAGAAGCTGACTCAAATAAGGAAATATATGATACATTATGATGTGATATGATATGAATGATAATGGGACACATCGACGTCTGCACTCACAGTGCCGCGGACTGTACTTAATGTTACTCTGATCCGGTTACTTATGTTGTGGCAGATATTTAAGTAAGCTTTCTTAATGCTAATGTTATAATAGTCAGATTGCTCTGAAGATGGGAGGGGATATTCTATTCATTTTCACGTTCACACAGTCAGTTGATTTTTGCCGGCCGTCTTTCCTGCAACGGCAGTTTTTCTGTATTTCCTCTATCCTGTAATATGACTTGATAGCTTTAAACTCCGCACACGGAGCTCTGATTGGTCAGCAGGCGGTGCTTTCACTGAGTTGATCTCTTAGCCTGGAACCAAACCTGCTCCGGAGCAGGTTTGGTTCCAGGATAAGTTACCATGGAGATCTAGCCCGCTAAAAAGAGCCCAAATCCCTAACCCTCCCTAACCCTGCAAACATATTTTTCTTAAACACACAACAAATAAATGAGGATATTGGCACAAATATCTAATGTCTTTCTCTCTCAAAGGAGCAAATATAACTTATTATGTTACTTACATTAGCAGGGAAGTAAAACAAAAAAAAATTAATAATAATTAAACCGTTTCTCTTTCAAGTGCAGGAAAAAAGTACTTACTGGCAGAAATTCATGAGGTTTGTGAACGTGTGGCCATTCTTTATGCCTGACTTCCTTATCAAATCATTTGGGTTTCAGTGGCTGCACAGGCCCACTTGCTTTTCTATTTACTTTTTGCCACCAACCACCACCACCCCCCCCCCCCCCCCCCCCCCGATGCTCCAATCCATGAACCAAACAAGCCTCACACTGATTGGATTGACTGAGATCCAATCAAATAAAGGTACTCTTATGTGACCAGATTTAAAAAGCACTCACATTCACACAACTGGCATGCACAACTAAAACCCCCCCCCAATTTAAATGCATACTCATCCTCACACACGTACGCTTGTTCCATCATGCATGACGACCCCCCCTTTCACAACTCACACCCACAGTCTTTCACCGTATGAGTGCATTATGGGAAATCTGCCTTCTGGAGGACAAAATTACATCACGGCCTCCGCCAGCTTGCCGGGGCCCCGCTCGCCAAACCTAGTTACTGTGGTAACGGCAGTGGAAAATTAAAACAAACCCTCGCAGGAGTTCAGAATATTATGGAGATTTCAAAAGCCAAGTTCAAGTTGTGAATGAGTTATGAGAAGGGGAGAGGTGGGTGGGGTGTTGGTATATTTACACATGGTCTAATGGTCATGCATAAAGAGGATCAAAAAGAGTGATGGATTCTGGGAGTTTTTTTAAATTGACATAACATTCACTAGTGCGCTGTGACTGTATTCTGTCTGCAAATGTAACCTCACCTAAATCACTTGGGCTTAGACAACCACTGTGACATCACTGATTAGGGCGCGGCTAAACGTTCTTGAAACTTTCAAATTAAAGAGGAGTGAAGTGGCAGCAACATTTCTGAGGGGCAATTCTCTTGGTCTACTGTTACCAGCAGTTCTATCCAAATGTGCAAGATGTTGCTTCTCTGGTGTCTTTAAATGCTCCTTATAAAGAAGTTGAAATATTGTTTCCAGGTGTTCCCCTCTGCCAAAGAGTTTTAAAGCCCCTTTATGTAGATCTTAAAGTAATTTAATTTATTTTTAATTGGATGGCATAGGTATTTGCTTAGCATAATTAAATGAGACAGCAGGGGCACCAAAGACTACAGGGTTGAAGGGGATCTTTTCCTACTTCCATTAGTTTTCCACTTTTTTGACATGAAAATAATTTTAAAATAAACCTAAACTATGCAATATTAAAGGTCACCTATCATGCTATTTTTAGGCAATAGCATAGGTCTCAGATATATAAAAATATATAAATAACATGTCTATGAAGTGTTTTGCTCAAAATACCAAACAGATCACCCATTCTAGCCATGCCTCATATCCCTCTATTTCACTTCCTGTTTCAAAAGTGCTGATTTGGGGTATAAAGCTTTTTAAAAAAAAGGAGGGGGCTGAGCTCATGCGGGAGATGCTACCGGCAGATTCTGAAACAGTATGGAGCTCAAAGGCTTTCTCTTTTGCCGGTTATACCACAAGGTGAGTTCCTTTTTATTTCCTGCTTCTTCACACACATGCTCTCCAGTACAGGTTAGCTCTGAGTGTTAGCGATGCTAATGTAAACATGCACCGACCATATTTTACGTCCAAAACAGTCGGGCATTGTTTCTGATAGCAACGTTTCTGATAGGGCCGTGGGTGTCAAGCCAGCCTACATTTCCGATATTACGTCATATCGGACGCAAATCTGGATCAGCTCCGTGGTAGCCCCGTTCTTAGAGATTTGGGTATGGAAGAAAAGAGAGGTTTTATTTTCTGACGCTGTGTGAGTTCCCTGACACACATACATCTTCATGTCTAAAAGACATAAAAAAGTGCGTTTTGCATGATAGGTCCCCTTTAAGCCAACGGTGGCTTTAAAATATTCATATTAGCCTTTGTAGACTCCAATGTATTTGTGTGTCATTTGGCTAAATTACCCGTGGTAATATAGGTACTATTGGCTGCTTGAGACTCACCCCATTGGCTCTGCTCATGGCCTGGTAGTAGATGCTGTAGCTCTTGGCCGGGGACAGCGGGGGATTCCAGAAACCTCCGTAGCTCTTGTTGTCTCCCACAGTGAAGGGCTGTACCACTGTGAGGCTGGATGGGGGCAGTTCGGCAGCGATGTAGTAGGGAGAGTCCAAGATGGAGGCATTGCGGAAGCTGACAGGGGCGGAGAAACACTCTGGGGCTTCGGAGGCGGCGCGGCGGGTCTTTGACTTGCGCTCCTCCTTCACAACAAGCTGGTAGGAGCTGGAAAGACATAAATATAGTTACATTAATACCTTCGACCAGACATATGAAGGAGAAATATGGGTTTTACTCACTGTTATTTAGGCGACATTATTTCCCAATTTGTCATTTCCATTTGGAGCACACATGTATAAGGTTGTAATATGCATGGCACAGGTGGTCTTTGTTGGAGGCCATTGTCCTTTAAACTCTTAAACTGGTGAATTATAAATTAAATAAAGCCTTTTTCACCTAAAAAGTGATTGGTTTGATCTGACGATTACACTTGTGCCCATTATCCAGATCCTAAAGAGCATTTATCTTTTAAAATATTTAATTTCCAAAGTGCTCACTAACCATTTGGCAATTAAAGCATTAGCAGAAGAGTGCTGAGGTCCGTAGAGAATTTGCAGAAAATGCCAAATACACTTTAAAAAGGAGAGTGATTAGTACCAAGGGTCATTTTTTTCCTAAATGGTAGATTTACTTTGGATTTAAAATTGAGCGTTCTTTCTAACAAGGTACATGGCAGATAACTTTTTAGCGCTGACTCAGCATTAAATTATGAGTTAAAAGAAAGATATGCTACATGTTCATACACGTTTTCCATTCTCATGAATGAATCCTGATCTTCATGCACTGGAAAGCTCCCAATGAGACCAACGGGGTCATCACACTGTATGCAAGGTGAAATTGGTAGAAAATACACTTATATGCAGGACTATATGAACACAATGAATGCACATTATTTTGAAAGGAGAGTCAGAGTTGGAAATGAAAAGAAAGTGGAAGAAAGACTTCTCCCCAGACAGTCCTTGAAACAATGTTTAGGAGTGAGTGAGATAGAGAGATATATTGCCATTTTCACTTTTTGTGTGTGTGCGCGTGTGTGTGTGTGTGTGTGTGTGTGTGTGTGTGTGTGCGCGTGTGTGTGTGTGTGTGTGTGTGTGTGTGGTCATTATTTATATGTGTGCATACATAGTATTGTTGTGCTCTAGCAGGTGTGCTCCTGTGTTTGTTCTAACAGGTAGAGGTGGATTTATATACTTAATAGTATATGTCCATGTGAGTGTGTTTGGGGGGGGGGGGCTTTTGCATGTGTGTGTGTTTGTGTTTCCGTTCCACTCTGAGAGGCTTCATGAACGGCTGAGGGCTCCTTTAGCGGTCAGGACAAACGCAGCGGCCCTCCGCAATTACCTCCGTCCTCCATACCAAGAACTCACTTCACAATTATACGCAATTAGGGAAATGTATGTTTCTGTGAAGGGGGCCGCGGCCAATTATCCCCGGCTCCCGTTTGGCAGCTTTCATAAAAGATAATTGCTGATGACCAAAGATGAGTCTCTCTACTGTTTCTGCCTTTCTGGTGAAATATCCATTTCAAAGTAATGGCTTTCTGAGGCTTCACAAGGGATGGTGTGTGTGTGTGTGTGTGTGTGTGTGTGTGTGTGTGTGTGTGTGTGTGTGTGTGTGTGTGTGTGTGTGTGTGTGTGTGTGTGTGTGTGTGTGTGTGTGTGTGTGTGTGTGTGTGTGTGTGTGTGTGTTACATGTGTTTATATGGAATGGTTTTCAATACAGGTTATATTACGTCTTTCTTTGTGAGGACATATTGTAAATGAACATATTTTAAAGTAAGGGTATTTTAAAATTGAGAACGTTTATTGGTTAAATCAAGATATGATTTGTACTTCTTTAAATAGTTGTGGCTTTGTTGTCTGAAGTAAAAAGGCTGGGGCCAGTGGATGCATTATATGATGGTAAAATAGGTAAATGCATTATGTGTGTTGGTGTACAATCCTAATCTTGTATGTGGTTGGTCATTTTATTTCTAACGTGTAATGTAATGAGTTTGCGTTGATCACCTCTGTACATCAATATACATCAGTTTAGTTTGTACTCTACGCGCAGCCATGTGTGATTTTGTGTGTACTTGTATGTCTATTTATGTTTTTTCAACGTGCAAATGTGTAAAGAAACCACAGGTGTTCTTAAAGAATGCTTTCTCGAAATTCATCCATTTCCTATACTTTTCTTATAAAGGGAGAATTTAAAATGCACATTATTTTAAGTGAGCGTATAAAAAAACGAGTGTTTTGGGAAAATTTGAAAATGTCTACTGGTTTTTATTTCTTCAAAAGGCTGTTTGATATTTAATTTGTCGTAAGGTAAGGGGCCGATGGATACATTATATTATTAAAAACACATTGACGCAAGGAGTGTATTTGTGTACATGTGCAAGTCTGGTCCAGTGTTTGTTTCTTTGTGTGCAAACATAATTTAAACATGAAAGTGTTTGCTCATTACCTGAGTGTTCCTGTCTTCATCTGTGTAGTATGTTATTATAAAACATCTGCAGACATGTGCCTGCATGTTCTACAGTTAAAGTAATGTACTTTGCATTTGTTCAACATGTGTTGACATCGAGTTAGCCTTTACAGCTGTTTCCTCTGTGAATGTATGTGGATGCACATATGTATGCATCTGAGCATGTGTGCAAATGTGTGTATGTACATATGTGTGTGTGTCTCAACCCCAGCAGCTGCTCCTCATAGCTCAGCCCTTTGTGTAAACATTCCTCATGTAAGCTCCAGTACTGGAGATGCTGGGATCTTCTCCGAATTAAGAAAAAAAACTATTCCTGCAAAAAGCATTAGCGTGCATACTAACCGGATGCCTTTCCCATGCTGCCCCATGATGCATCTGTTGGCACTTACAACATGTAATACTTGCACAAAACACACATAATAAGCAAACATGTAAAGGGGCTTATCTCAGGCTGATAAACACAAAGATTTTGGACTGCGGCCCAATTCAACAAGAGTTATATTTGCCATATGTGTGTGATACACGGCAAGATATGGAATGGGATTTACACAAATGAACACTAAAACTATTGACCCGCACTCACATTAATCAAATCCCTTTCCCCAAGTCTAAATTGAAGTGATATATATTCTCCACACACCCTTGTCAAAGCTGTATTTCCCTAAAGGCAACGGCAGAATTATGTTCTCCCCTACACCAATGAAATGGATGAGATCACATGTTCAAAGTGAACTTTTAATTAAAAAACATGCAGGCTGAAAAAAATTGAAATGAGAGTGGAATAAATTAGCCGTGTGTCCATTTTAAAACAAAAGTGCAGTGGACTGGGACTTGAAGGATTAAGTAGCAGTCTGTGTTTTTAACTTTTTATATAATTTCCTCACTCTTTTTCTTTCAAATGTAATTTATATCAAGGAGGAACCTGTGCTTTGTACTACCACTTCTGTAGATTTGACTGATAAACACCTAATGCAATTTTGAATCATGATGAGTGGCTATTTATTAGACGACATATTACGCTCATTTTAGGGTTCCCTAACATGAGCGGTGGGAGAGAAGCTTTTACAGGGAACTTGGGGTTTTATCCTTTGCAGACCATTTCAATGAACACACACCTATATAACACACTGCAGGAAAGGGAAAACCCTAAAATGCAGAATAGGACCACTTTCAATGACTACACAAGTTGTTGTGTTGCCATTGTATGCCACTAATGGGTTTACGTGACGATCACTATCGCATGTTTGTTTGTGTATTATGTGAAAATCCTCCTTATCTTTAACCATTAAAACTGTGTTTATCCCCTTTTTGCCAACAAGCTCTCCACAGGGTGCTTCAATTAAAGCAGCAAGTCTTAAGGGACAGGATAACCAGGGTGTCCATCAGACAGAGGAAGTACTTTCTGTTTTGAGTCTCCATAAAACTGTGGCTATAGCAACAAGTGACTAACGGCAACACGTGCCACGGCTACATCTATACAAAAGTGTCCCATTCTTTGAGTGCCTTTGCATACAAATTAGACTTATATGTGTGAGTGATTTTAATGGCTTTAAAAGAGACCCTTGAGGAAGACAAGAGTAGGGAAAGTGGATGGAAATAGGGAAAAGAAAGTGAGGGGGCAGAGAGGAGAGGACAGAAAAGTTAAGGAGAGGAGAGAAGAAGAAAAGAGAATAAAGGAAGGAAGGAAGAGGAGATCCCCCGAGGATGAGGGAGGAGAAGAGGAGAGAGATGAGTGATGATGGAGGGGGCGAGAGAGGAGAAAAAAAGAGAACGAGGAGGAAAGGAGAGAGAAAGAAGAGGGAGGTGTCTCTCGAGTCTTCTCTCCTCTGACCTCTCTCTTCTCCTTCTCCCTTCTCTCTCTTCTCTCTAGAAGGAGGGCTTCCTTCTCGTCCACTTGGGAGAGGAGGAGACGGTTCGGGAGGGGGTCCCTCTGGAAGGAACTAAGATGCGAGAAGGGTTCGAGAAGCTTCTCTTTCGGGAGAGGAGAGGAGAGGAGAGGAGAGGAGAGGAGAGGAGAGGAGAAATGAAAAAGATGGAAGAAAGTGAGTAGGAATACATTGAAGGGGGAAAAGGAGAAAGAAGATAACAGGATAACAAACGGGAAAAGTGTAAATATAAAGAAAAAAATAAGGAAATAAATTACGTGATGGGTGCTCCACGTGATTGGGCGGGCTTCAGCAGGATGGTGATGGTGGTCTCCGTCTCGTTCAGTGGAGCCTCGGACTCATACTCTGGCATCATGGGGGCTAATGGGGAAGGAAATACAATGACATTTGAGAAATGAACATTTAAAAGCAATGTATTATTAACGTATTACTTACATGTTCAGAAAGTCACAAAGTATCAAACCTAACAAAAATACCATCATTGGCTGTAGCTGAAGAATAGGATTGTTTAACATCAGTTGGGAAAAACTGTTAGAAACATAATGACCCTTCTCATTTCCCTCAACCTAACAGGTACCTTTCAAAAAAGGTATAGAAGGCCTATAGACATGATATAACGTTAGTTTTATCAAACTAAAGTGACCATTATGTCAAAGGGCCACATGGGAATGCAAAGGAGAAACAAGGGAAACAACCTCTTTAGCCCTGAGCCTGTTTTTCAGGCCTCAGGCTCGAAAATGACATTCCCAGAACAAATGACTATATCTTCACTTCTAAAAGGGGAAAATTAATAATCTTTTTTCTCAAAGTAATGATAAACCTGTGAGTTGGATGTAGAAAAGTCAGAATCAATATAGATTTATTTTTATTTTAAAGTAAATTCAGATTGAACACAGTAAAATAATAATAATAGTAAATTATAGTGTCCGTCCAAAGAAAAAACATTACTTATAGTGAGAACCACGCTTGAATGATGGGATGGTAGACTAAAAGCTTTAGGAATCCAAACTATAACATGTAATAAGTACCCTGTATCAATATTGATGCAAAACAAGTGACATTTGACCTTTTTAGAGAGATTTAGGAAAGAAAACCACTTCTGGGGTTATTTGGGTGTATTTTCCATATCTCTGGCCCCCCTCGGTCAATTTTGATGATTGACACCTCTTTTTAACAGTTAGAGCCAATAGAATCGAGGGGAAGTTCCTAAAATCCATCTAAACATTACCCATTGGTGAATGAGTGATGCATAGCCAGAATGCCCTGGAACCGGAAGCTGTCATACACTCTCGTAGCAGCTAATATGAAATCTCCGTGATTGACATAAATATGAAGATGGATTATCAGTAATCATTTCAAAGTGACACAGACACATTGGATGAACCTATGGATTAACCTTCAGCAGCGTTTTTATCGTTTTAATGCCATTGAACACAACTTTTGATCAGAACAACAGCAACGGTAAGACTTATTTTCCGATTTGGTCCTGTAAAGCTAATTTTGTTGTTGTTGTTTGTTGTAATTTAGCCGCGAGTTCTGATCGCTCAGTGGTGATACTTATATGTCTGGAATCTGTGGAATCTCAGCTTGCTAATCGGTATCTTGTTTGTGCAGATTTGATAAGTAATAAGGGTATTTTAACGTGAGTTCTGTGCTAGTGTGTTAGCATTTTTTCGCTCAGGGCTAATTCAGAGTCTTTGTTATTACCCTTATGTTTCGTTTTGCTAAAAATGGTTGATATTGTCTGATAGCTGAGTTTCTTCCCGTTAAGTGGATATGACACATTCATAGTTTATTAAATGTTAAGAAGCCCTCAGACGCTGTTTCTTGCAAGATGTTGCGTTTTTCCCCCGCCCGCGGGGCCGTGGGGTTTAACTGTGTAAGGACACATTTACCAGAAGTGATATAAACATTTCTATGTGACATAACACCAGACTTTTTCTGGTTAGTTTATTAAAAAAATATGTTTACATGTCAAGGCAAATCATACCATATTCTTCTGAGTCATTGGAAAATAAAAGGAGGATTTGTTTGCTTACAAATGCTAAATCCACATTTAAATAGAAATACAGACCAATATATTATATAAAGCTTTAAAAAATCACATCGATAAATCTGTTCTGGCTCTGACCTTTTTGGTTATTTAGTTTTGTCATTATATCATCAAACTTGACAACAGTGATCCTCTGGGGTATTTTAGAGACTCAAAGATGGATCTATGATTCACTCAGAAGACATTCAATATGTTAATGTTCACATTTGTCATGCACTCGTAATGAAGGTGCAGCATTAGTGCCTGTCGGAGTAAAACATCAACACTTTTTCCCTGATTGGTGTGGCATTTAGGTTATTAACAGCCCAACCCCCCCCTCGTTTGTATATCCATCTCTAAGTGTCTGCATCATTTAATTGAAATATCTTCATCCTTCACCCTCTGAATGAGATAATGAAGATTGGGGATGACGTGGCATTTGGAGGGAGACGTCTCTGTTATGTGTGGAAGTGCCATGTTTTTGTTGCCTCTTAGCAACGTTAAGATTTGAAGGGAAGATGGAGGAATGGAGGCTCAGTGGAAAGGTCATGCAACAATCACTGTAGGTGCTGACGGATAGCAGTAATGACATGCTGATGACACACTCAGACCGCAGTCCTCACACTGTCAGGATTCAGTGGTCAAACATTGGTTCTCTTAAATTATTAAATTAAATTATTATTAAATTATTATATTACATTTACTAGTTACTTTAAAAAAATTGTAGTCTGTTCCCTAATCTACGTATTACAATATTAAAGTAACTTCATTACTTTCCTTTACTTTTATATGGAAAAGGATTAGAGACACATGTGAATATTCTTTAGAGATCTGACCAAAAGCTACTTTTTGTTTCTGAGATTAAAGTCAGAACAAAAATAATAATAATAATCACATTTGGTCAGGTATCAAAGGAAAAAATTGCATTTGGCCCTTATCATATTCGGTAATGTTGCATTTCCTTAACATCAAACATTCAATAAATACATTCAACTTTTGACTCAAGACTTTTTTCACTCTGGTGAAATGTGTGAAAAGTAGTAATGCGAAAATGTATTTGAAATCTTCTAAAAATGATTACTTTTTTAAACATCCCAATAATCTGATTACATCTTTGTATGTATCTGTAGGGATATAATGACATTATCCCATTACATGTATTCCATTTCTTCCAGAGTCTTTCAGTGGTGTAGCTCAGTGGACAGTCTGGGCATCAGCACGGCTCATATTTGGGTTTAAGTCACACATTTTCTGGAGCCATTCATATTTTGAAAATATATTTCCCTAATGGTTAAATGTGACATGTGTAGCATTTATTTCAAATATATACTGGTACAATTAGTGAAGAAGAAGTGGCCACAGAGCAGTTTCAGGACTGAATATGTTTAACTGGATTAATATGGAAATATGCAAGTTGAAAATATCTTGTCTGCTCAGCAGAGATTTATGCCGTTACCTCTGCTTTATATCACAAGTCCTTTAAATCGAGTGACACTTGCAGTAATGTTATGAGATTATTACACATGAAAGTGATAAACTCTCTTTGGATTATCAAAGGGAACAGATATCTGATGTTGTTGGACTGAAAAGATTTTTAAATAACATGTTTGACAAATAGATGCAGAAGTCGTTAAGTGCGCCTTCTCTAATAAAGTTGTACTTAGGATTGTATAAACTAGTACTTTTGGCAACAAATATAAATAAAAAAAGCTGTAATGTTTCTGCAAATATATTGATTAAAGAAGAAGAAGAAGAAACAATAATAAAAGACATTCTGTGAAGAAGATGCAATCGGATATGCCATTTAGGAATGGATTATTAGAGAAAGGTACATTTTTAAAAGTGAGAAAAAGATAGGAAGAAAGAGACTAGAAATAAATGTCTGAAGGGTGAGTCAGAGAAATAAAGGGCAAAGAGAGACGACAAAGAAGAAAAAGGTGAAGGGTTGTTATTTTGAATCAATCATTCTGTCATTTGAACAACAAGGAACACCCTTCACAAAATAATAGTCCTCTTGTTCCACAATGAAGAAATGCTTCAACATGGGCGGGGAATATTACAGTTCTTGCCACCAAAGTTGAAGGTTTTTCTTTTCTTTGGAGGTGCCATTGGCTAGGGCTGTGCGATTATGGCAAAAATCATAATCACGATTATTTGGGTCAATAATTGAGATCACGATTATTAAATACGATTATTCATTGACTTTGAAAAAATCAATTTATTGAACTTTAAAACAAATACAAATAATAATTTGAACAGTATCTTTTTAACTGTTGATTACCCTGAACGTATAATTCAACTGAAAAACCAATACAAAAATAAATAAAATAAATGATACATTTAAATAAATAATACCAAAATAATAAATACCAATAAACAAGATCAACAAATATTTTGGAGCGCACTTCCCCAAGCTACTAAACATATATAAATATGATAAATACAAATAAATAAGACTAAAATTAATGAGATCAAATATGTTGCAGTGCACCGTCACAACCTAGCAAAGCTAAATAATTGTTTTTTTCGATTATGTTGTTTTCGTAATTGTGGCAGGCCAAAATCGTAATTGCGATTAAAATACGATTAATTGCACAGCCCTACCATTGGCATTTGCTATGTGCTTAGGCAGATGACAACAGAGGGACACAAATGTAGTGGAACAAGTCAGACTAACAAAGACACAAACAACAAATAGACAGAAAGGTACATCCATAGAGAAACTGACATACCAAGCCACCACCTGGCCAACAAAACAAGCCTCCAGCGTCTCCTGTATCTCATGTTGTTGTTATAAGAAGCATTAGTGTGCCAAAATGTCTTGGTTTGATTTGAGAGCAAAGATCAAACAAATGTCACCACCAAATAACGGACAGACAAATAACAAATGATTTACTGAATGATTTCACATCCAAGTATTTGTACCTGCTATCTTGGTGCTGATGCGGGTGGTGACTGGTGGACCGAAGCCCTTGTTGGTGGAGGCTTTGAGGGTGAAGAAGTACGTGGTTCCTGGGTAGAGGCCTACGAACAGATGATGGGTCTCGTTCCTCAGCTTGAACACCCGTCCCCTCTGGGTTGTCAGATCAGCGCTGGGGTCAAATGAGCTCAAGGCCTTGTAGGTAATCTTTAGGAAAGAGGAGACAAACAGTTTAATAGATATTTAAGCTTAACTCTGTTGTGTGTAATACATTTACTTTTCTTCATTCTAGTGCATTTTAGTTTTGGTTTTGCAGATAATGTCTTGTCACTCTTGACAAGACATTTTACTGCTTACGGCTTACATCAGCTCTCTACAAGGTAAAAGTAATACAATTGACTAAATGTTGGTCATAGAAGCAGTCACTTCAGAAGCATTGTTTTCACAAAGCTAATGTTTTATTATAAGCTATAATGCAGTAATTATCATTTATGTGAGTTAATATTTCACAAACTTTCTCACTCAACCATGTGACTCTGAAAAGAAGGGATAGTCTTTGTAGCAGCCCGTTAACATCCACGTTTGTGCGGCAGAGCACCACTAAAGCCATTCTGCTGCACTGAAAACATTCAAAGTGGTGCAATCAGTTATTATTGATCTGTAAAGTGCCATGAACAGTTGTTGTGGCCAACGTGTAACAAGTTTCCTAACCCTAACCCTTACAACTTTGCCATTCATTTGCACTGTTGGTCAATCAATTCATTGTTAGGACTTTTGTGGCCACAGTATTTTCCACAACTGATGGAAGAGAGTCGAGTGTGAACCAAAATAAGTTCAGGTTTAAAATAATAATACCACAGTTACTCTTTATATCAGTAGTTTCATCAATCCTAATCTTTTGAACAGCCAGAATGTTTAACACTTGATAATTAAACTAGATTTCTAATAATCAGATTTTGAGACGAACTAAAGGTCAAATGACTGCTCAGCTTTGGTAAATTGAACAATATTCATGTCTTTCTGTGCAATATTATATCCATTTCATTTACATTTTTCAAAACAAGTTTGACCTCCCAAACACCTCCAAGACAAATCTATTTTGGAGTTGAAGTGGTGTTTGGCCCTTTGCTACAGGTCAGTGATTCACCACTTGATTTCCACTTTGAGACTGGAACAAATTGAGCAAATCGACCCGTGGCCACTAAACTGGCAGAGGCACTTCAATAGTCATTCTTTCAAAATAACTGTCAGTGTCTGTCGAGATGTTGCTGCTGGCAAGTTTCAACGATGCACAACTGTCAATGACTCACACGGAAACACCAAAACAAACAGTCACACGCAGTAAAACACTGGAGGACAGCAGTCATTGTGAATGACAGTCATTACAACAGAGTCAAACACATTCATAGCAATTCAACCCCAAACACAGTTTAGCCCTTCATAGAGCATGTGTGTGTTTTTTTCTGTCAACATGTCTGAGTGCATTTCAGTTTTTCATTCAGCCCTCTGGTGAAAATAAAAATACAAGATATAAAAAGTGTGAAGGCAAGGTGAGAATGAGTGAGGGAGGTAAGGAAAAAGAATTGATAAAACAGAGACAGACAACATGAATGAACCAGAAGGCACTCGCTGGAGCGGAAACCACCACCAACGCAAAAGGAAAAAAAAAACTTCCAGGGCTATAGCCTCTGGATCGGCTCATGTTTCCTGCTGTTTGTCTTCCAGGTTAGATTTCTTGAGATAACAGAAAGTGAGGGCAACACAGACTGCAAACTAGGAGTTCCCAGAAGAAAACTTTTCCACCTGCATGAGTGGAGCATCAATACGACTGTATGCTTACAAAAACAGAACATATCCAAAAAACCACATCTCTTACTCTCAACCCCACCAATCTTATCCAAATGTATTGGTTATCATCTGGGATATTATAGCTATCAATAGACCAACACAAAAAGATGTGTTCCAAGTTTAAAGTATAGCACAGTAACATATACAACGACAGAACTAGTCAGCAGGATGCAGAAATACTGTCAGAGAGCCAACACAACCAATAGAGAGAGAGAACGAGAACTGTTCAAATGCACCAGAGCTCTAATAGTGTAGCTTTGCTGTACACTGTTTCCCCATCTACCCATGTTTCTTCTGCACCCTTCTCTGGCCAGTCCACAAAGGCCAACCTGCCCAAGGATATATCTGAAGACAGTGTTTCCATTGATGGAATAACAAGTGTTTAAGATGGAGGTTTGTGTAAAATGGGTACCTTGGAGGCTGGAGGTAATATGTGTGTGTACTGTAAGTGTGTGAATCTGTGGCGGTGAGGCGGTGGGAGGAAGATCTCAGACTTCACACTCACAGACGTCGGGCGGCCCTCATCTCTCCATTAGCGGACTCAAATGGAAAGCACTGACAGCTGGGTGCCTCAATTTGACTCGGCCTGCAGGCTGAAGTGGTGATGTGCCAATGTGTGACTATGTGTGAGGGTGTGTTAGAGAGAGAGAAAGAAGAAGCAATAGGAAATCCAAAGTTGAAGATGCAGAGAAAAGAAAGACATGAATAAAGAAACTGGAGTGAGATACAGTGGAAACAAACCTCTATTGCACTGGATGTTCTGGTTCCAGAGACATACAGGTATGGTAGTGGCCAGGGGCCTCATTTATAACGCCTTGCGTAGGATTGACGTAGGAAGGTTGCTTACGTAGTACAAAGCACAAAAATAGGTACATAAATGTTCCGCCATTTTCCGATTCACAAAACATTGCGTACCGGCAAGGGAAGTGCGTACGGCACTCCCTACGCCTGTTTCCCTTGATAAATCACAATCGACTCGTAACGCCCATATTTGCCTATACATAGTCAAAGAAACGCCCATTCATTCATTCATTTTGACTGACTGCATGAAGAAGATCGCAGGAAATGACGATAGAACAGCTAAAAAAGACATCTCACACCGTGTCAGATTTTGGTTATTTTGGGGAGGTCGAGATAAATCATATTGTTTGGTGGATGCAGTTTGAACCAGAGTAGCAGCATGGAGGTCGGATCGTCACCAAAATAAATAAATAAGTGGTCCGAAAAAAGTTAATGACAAAAAAAATACACATAACCTTCCTCAGGCAGTGTGTTTGTACCGGGGACAGGAGACCCCCCCTTGATGAGAAACTAAGAAATGATGGGGGAATCCCTCCGGAGTGGAGTCATGACGACTGGATCTGAATTATTTTTGTTGTATTTGGTGGTTTGTGTTCCAGCTGTCGATCAGCAACTATATATCCATAATCCACCAGTTAAAGGAAATACAATGTGTTGTGTTATATTAGCTGTACAATTTACCACGGTGTTCTTAGTTTCCATACCTCCTGTGTTTTACGAGCGACTTATCAAGTCTTGGCAAACGGCATAAAACACGATTAAACGTGATAGTATATAAAACCATGCTCGTATCTACAACCTATAGAAAAGCAAAACGGCGTCAGTTTAGACGTAATTCTGTCCTCCTGCTTACCGCATCATTTATGAGAAAACATTTCATAACATTAACACAACATATTCGAGGTGGTTTTAAATAGCATATCCGTATTTATTTATTTCTCCAAGTTATGTTTTTGTGTACACTGAGGAGTCTCAAACAGGCGTTTGTTTAATCATTTTAAGATTGGCTTTAATCAATGTTTGAAAATGAATTCTTCATATTTGATAAATGAGAGGTAACATTTTATTTATGGTATTATTTCCACATATTTCTCTCCATTCTTCCTTCTGCCAACGGTGTCGCAGTTTCTCGTCTCTCCCGTTGTTGTGCTTAGTGCGTACGCATGGGTTAGAGTTTGCGTGGAGGACAGCACATTTTCCCGTCAAGTTAGTATTTTATAAATCGCAAACATTGCGTAGAAACTGGCGTACGCCATTTTTTGAGCGTATATCCCTTTATAAATGAGGCCCCAGGTCACTTGTTTGATGTCTGATTTCACAGACTTTACATTCAAGTTTTGCATCAGTGGTGAATTATCTGTGCTAATAGATGTAATGTGTTTGTTGTATTCATAGGAGCTAAAAACACAGCTCAATGAGCATTTCAGTTCATTTCATTGCCTTAGGCTTTCGTTCATGTATCTTCTGATACTCATAAACCATTGCTTGGGGTATTTTGTTGGAGGTTATTCTGGATAACTTTGTGTTAGAGAACTTGAGGGCGATTCACAATAGCAGCCATTAAAATGGCTGTCCTACTTGCTAAAGGAATCTAAAGAGATCAAGGCCCCTAGTTGCACATGAGTGTATAGAGCTATGATGGGTATAGGGCAAACAAGATAAAGGAATCCATCAATAGAGAAGTCTTTATTCTCAAAGTCAATACATGAAAGATATGTGTCCTTAGGATTTGGAGCAGCTGAAGCTCATGCGGTCCTTGAGAAGGACAGTCGTGCCTTCCAGTATTTGTATGAAGGTGAGTTTTGGACAAAGAAATTCAGCAAAAGTGAATTATGTAATGCATTCGGAGTGCACAATGTTCAAATTATTTCAAATTTGACATCAATTGAAGCTGATACTACAACCAATCAGATTACGGCTGTATGAAGCGGCGTAAGTAAAGCAACGAGTAAATTGCTTATCATATGAAGGCAGCTTAATTCAGCGAGTAAGTTGCCTTGTTTCAATGAAGTTCTACAATACAAAGTCTTCCTCTATTCTCCTTCTGTTTATTTGACAGTGCTAAGAAAGTAAAACAATGATATAAGATATTCTATAAGTTATCTTCTTTACTTTCCACTAAGTCCCCAGGTACAACGCAGACAGACAACTAAACGCGCTTGGGAGGAACTTGGGACGAAACCTTCATCCGACAGAAGTGTGCAGTCCAAAATGCAGAACAGAACAGCTGACGTCTCCCAGGCCTCACAGTTGGCCTGGCTGGTGGAATAAAACATGTTAAATCAATAGCTATTTATACAGACTGGGACTTGGGGGCTAGAACAATAAAATATCATCTATTTCATCTACGCTGCAGTTTTGCTTTGCACATCGATGGCTGTTATTTTACAAGTCATGAATGGCTCTGTATCTTTTTATGGGCTAAACATTCTCTCTGTCTCTTGCTTTTACCCACTCACTCTTTCCCTCTTCCTTTTTCTTTCCATATTATATGCTGGACATTCTCACTGTTTTATCAGTCTTTCCATTGAGTTTACCTTTTTTGGTACACCCCTCTA